GAATGGAGGAGAAGGGATTGCGGCATGGCCATCCCCCCTGGGGGGGGGGGCGTGATCTCTCACTTTCTGTCTCTCTCTGTTTTTCTGGTAAGTTCATGTGCCCTATAGCAAAAATCCTCTTCCCCCCCCAAAAAAAAAATCTTTAAAAATTAAAAGAAGGACCAGCAGAAGGTATAATGGTTACATTGCTGGACTCCCATATAGTCAACCGCAGTTCGAGTCCCTGTCCTGGCGGCTTAAAACTCATGCTGGGCATGTGTGCGTGCATGCCCAAAATCCCAAGAGGAGAAGAGGAGAAGGGATTACAGTGTGGTCATCCCCCGTGGGGAGTGATTTCTCGCTTTCTGTCTCTTCTCCGACTCTTTGGAGAGCACACGTGCCCTGTAGCAAAAATCTCTCTAAAAAAGAAAAATTAAAAGAGCAGGAATTACTGAACCCAAAGGACACGAGACTTGGGAGTTTCTTTTTAATTGTTTAGGATCTTTTTTTCCCTTCTGAAAAATTTAAAACTACAGAGAAAAATAGGAAAAACACTGACTCCAAACTCCACCAACTGAGAACGACTACTGCAGAGTTCGCTGTGTTGCATTCTCTTCCTTGACTTCCTAAGTATAGATCATTTTGACATTTGCGTATGCTTCCTTTTTATGAAAACGTATTCAAAAAATAGAAATACAAATGACACCACTGTGACTGTGGTACAGGTGTACCCTCTCCCCCGCCAGCATTGCCACCAGAGAGCCGCTGGGTGACAGGATGTGACTGACTTCACATTCTTAGAACCAAACAAACAAGGAAGACGAGTAACAGCAAAAAGCAATTCGTATCCAAAGAAGGACTTCTGAAAAATGTAGGAATCCTGGAATAAACTCGCTGTCAAGTTAACAATCTCCAACTTTGGAGGCTCCTTTAAGGGCAAACGCCTCACACCGAACATCTCCAAAACGTAAGAAAACTAGCCTGTTTGTGGAGCAGGGGGCCAGACATTCTCTTATGATGTGGTACCAAAATTTGTTCATTTTTATGCTTAATAGAAAGGCTGGAGTGGGGGCAGGGGAGAAACCCACTCTCTTACCTACTAAAAATCCAAAGTTGTTTCTCATGGTTTCCTCCAGTCATCTCTAGCCACGTATTCAGGTACTGTCAAATGAAGATGTAACTATGGCATAGTACAATTTTGTCTTTTGCTTTTTTCATTTATTTATTTATTTATTTATTTATTTATTATTTGGAGAGGTTTTCGCTCTAGGGCACGTGCGCTCGCCAGACAGACAGAGAGAGACATAGAGACAGAAAGCGAGAAATCCCCCCCCCCAGTGGGGATGGTCACGCCACAATCCTTTCTCCTCCATTCTCCTCTCGGGATTTTGGGCACGCACGCACACGTGCCTAGTGTGAGTTTTAAGCCACTGGGTCCGGGACACGAACCACGGTCGACTATGTGGGAGTCCAGCGACATAGCCATTACGCTAACTGCTGGTTACCAATCTTTTACCTATGGTAACATGTAAGAGGTACTTTTTGTAGCAATTTTGAAATGTGCAATGCATATTGCATATCAGTTATAGTCACACTAGAACTTACTCCTCCTATCTAACCAATTGTGTATCGTTTTTCTAACATTTCTCTTTCCCCACCCTTCATTCCCCACCTGCAGCCTTTGGTAATTGTCTTTCTACTCTCTACTTCTTATGAATTAGACTTGTTTAGACTCTACGTGTAAGTGAGATCATGCAGATCGCTTTTCTCAAAATTGAAATTCGCTTCTCTCATCTCTGAGACAGACTCTTTTGGATTCAAGTGCATCTAAATCATTTTCACAAGCGTGAATCCATTGATATCTATAGGGGATGAATTTGTAATATTAGTTATTTCTGCCTCCACCGTGTTTGTGTGTATATATACATATAATCAAGTACAGCTGCTGATGAAGATGAGCTTTCAAGTACCCATGACTTGTAACTGTCAGACACGTGACAAATTTGAAAGATGAACCTGAGGACAGATGTACACAGTAGTTTACCCATCACTATGATGGAGACTGCATTTGCAATGATAAGATCAGTGTTACAGAAATGAGCTAAGAATGTGAACAAACTGGATGTCATTAATTTGTATTTATTTTCTTGAATGCGTTCACTCCAAAACTAACATCCTTAGGCATCCTGCTCTTATTCATCAGGGATGCATGAAACCATGAAAGACAACTCCCATAGGCAATGGGCTTTCCCAAGATAATGAGGCGCTCCCACCTAAAAAGAGGCAAATAGCCCTCTTCACCACACAAACACACACCCTCAACTGGAGGATGGACAAAGTGTATGCCTCACGTTTCTCTCAGTGCTATTCAAATTTCCCAAGGCTTTGCTGGTAAGGAGTCTCTATTGGTTCCTCTCTGGAGAGAAATCCAGACCTGAGCAGTTTGGAAAATTGAGTAGAAAGCTAATAAGGAGATCAGTTAGCCAGGTGTAGTGTGTGTTCCCTGCCTATCTCCTCTTTTCAGTTCCTTACACATGAGAAACACACCACCTCCTACCCCTTGAGACTCATTTGAAATGCAAGATCATTGTCTCCTATGCAAAATATACAGCACTCATGTAAAAAAAAAAAACCTACAATTTGTTCAACTTGACCAAAGGGTTGAAAAGAAAGTGAATATGTATGTAATGGAACCCTCTCGGACTGGGGTTGGCAAATGTGATCAAATCAGGTAACAGGTGCTTTGGGAAGGGTTTTTGATGAGATGAGGCTGCTGTGATTCAATTAATTCAGTATACACTGATTTTGGGTCAACAATCTAGCCAGGCAAGTTCCTCTTACTAGGTGTATCCAAAACAATGAATCATCTGTCCCGGGCAATCCACCACCTGACTCCACACCTTCTTTTTATTTTATTTTTTGTTTGTTTTTGTTATTTGTTTTAATATTTTTATTTTTAATTAATTACTTAGCTTACATAAAGTTGCTCACTCTCTGACATATCCTACCCTCCTCCCACACTATCTCCTGTGTCTACAGTAGTCATTCATTCCTTTTTTTTCTCCACATTTTATTGACTCACCAAATTTCTTAAAAAAGTAATTGTGTGGAATAGTGTGTGCTTGAGAAGCTGGAAGGAGATTTGCCTGTTGGGGTGTGGCATGGTGTGTGTGTGTGGATGAGAGTGAGGGAGGGGCTAAGCTGACAGGCGACACACAGGCCTGCTGTGGGGTGAGGTGTTGGGCCCACAGTGATGGCTATTCCTAGGGTGTTTACTGGAAAGGAGTCTTTCCAGGTTCATTTGTGACAAAAAGCTGGACCAGACCAGTTTGGACAATCATGTGGAAACCAAATACAAAGATCCCATCCCAATGTATCTGCCTGTCCTCTGCCTGTCTCTTAGTTTCTTATGTGTGAATAACATTTCTTCTCCTTCCCCATAAAACTCACTGGAAATACCAGATCATTATCTCTCTGTGAAAAATGACAGAGCACTCACATGGACAACAATTTGTTAGACTGGACAAACATGATCTAAAACAAAATGAGTATAAATGTAATGAAACCCATTGTAGGATGGGATGTGAAGAAGTATGCAAGTGGGAAAGTAGGTGTTCCGGAAAGGATTCTGATGAGATTAGGTGGTCTCAAATTCAACTTCTCTGGATGGACTAATTTCACCTCCAACATCTCAGGAGGCAAGGCCCTCCTACCTGGCGTACCCAAAAGTACCAATCATCTTACTCTAGGCTGACACATCCCCTGACTCCACCCCTTCCAAAACCATAAAAAGGAATGTCGGCCTTGGAGCTGACATTGCCAGAGCAGGTTCCAGCAGAGCAAACCACGGGGAATAGCTCTGTGATAGGGAACTCTGGGTGTGACCAACTTTAAGGCTGTCACCTGTTTCTCACAAAAAGGAAAGAATCGGGGGATCCAGCTCTCCTCATTTCCCTGTAGTGGGCCATCGACTGGCATTTGCAGACACTGAGAAGTCCAGAAAACCTTCACCATGTACGGTTTTCGGCGCCCAAGGAGCCCCAGCGGTTTCCTCCTAGACCAGATGGACAAAAAAACAGGAGACGGCAGGTTTGTTGAGGGAGTATGTGCTCGGGAGGCTGAAAGGTAGACTAGTCTGTGGATGGTGTGTAGGTGGATAAGTTAGGGAGGTCTGAGGTGAGAGGGACTTCAGTTTGAGGGAAATATGGAAACACTGACAGGATTTTGAACCTAGGGGGTGTGCAAAACCTCATCAGCCCAGAGACTTCGGGTCATAGTAAATTTCTATGTTCTGCCCCTCCTAAAAGCAGTCTGACTGGGTGTCTCTCTGTCTTCCAGGTCAAACTACCAATCAAATGCCATGAAACGTTGTAAAGTGGAGCAAGTTCCTGGAACAGGTGAGGTGCTTTTTCTTCTGCTGTGCTGCATCTTCTTCTTCTTCTTTTTTTTTTTTTTTTTTTGAGAGGTTTATTGGGTGTGTGCACTTGCCAGACAGTCAGAGAGAGACAGAGAGACAGAAAGTGAGAAAAGAAA